TTACCACTTTCTTCTCTCAGAGGAATTCATATTGCCTTGTCACCTTGATAACAATAGTCATCTTCAGCACCAAAGGAGTGCAGATACAGTTATAGTTTCTCAGCATAGAATATTACCATGCACAGGAGACAGCAGAGGTAGCGGACGAGAGGTGGCAAGGGAAATCTTATTAAATAGGAATAAAAAACTACGTCAGTTGGAACACCTGCCTTGAAACACTAGGAAAAAAGCACTGTGTACTAAATTACTTTCAAAGTAGTTGTCACTTGTAAAGGACGACAATTAATGATGTTCTGGCACCATCACTGAAGAACGCCTTTTTATTTTTTTTAATAGATCAAGCTAAAATGAAACACAGAGTATGAAAATTGGCTTACGGGTGTAACGTTGGAATACAAAAACATTGTACAACACTGGCTAACGCTGGTTCCTAACACCAGAAAAAATGAATTAGGTCTCTGTTGAAGACTTGGAGTCTTATTAGAATCAGAGGTTCAATATATGATTTCTTTTAGAACAATACAATTAAAACTATACAGCTGTGGGATACATAGAAATGTCGAGAATCATAGATTTTGTCAGTTTTGTTTCTGATTTTGACACTGATACCTAAAGTGCCATTTAACGATTTGTTAAGTACGTTTGTGATTGCTGATATGATACTTCCCAAAGCAACTGCAAACGTTTTGAGTATTTGCACAATTATTTTGCAAAATTTGCCATGCTGTCAGATACTAAGTTCTGGGTTGGCTACTGTACGGTGCTCCAGAATGTCTGATCGCCTCTAATTTAAATCTGTAATTTATGGAAGCTCACGCTAGCAGATATTCCCACACTCCACATTATAACTTTATTGGAAAGAATCCTAAATTTTCTACTGGCAGTTGAGTAAAATTGCCTCTCTTGGGAGCACACTCAGACCTGCGGTGCACCTTGATGGTCCCTCTTCATTATGTGCTACAGTAAAACACTGTATTTTGGTAAGAAAACAAACAGCAGTATCGCTACCATCACAGATTTTTCAACAGCTAGGAGGAAAAACATTTAGATTATTTTTTATTTTGAATTACACTAATTTTCAGTGGCCAGGAGCAAAAAAACCCCACTAGGTTAGAGTGAGCTTTCCCAATTTTCACTTTACCTTTATTTAATTGCAAATTTGACCACCTTTTGACTCTTGGCTCTTGACATGTTCATGGACAATATCCATGCAGCTAAATGCAGTCATAAACAAAGGAATTGTAAAAAATTCAACTCTCAAATGCAGCACGCTTTGTTGTGCAAAGTTAAGCCTCGCAGCATATTTTCATCTTAAAAAAAAAAAAAAAAAAAAAAAAGTTGCCTGACTTGTTTTAATTAGGTAATTTATAATGTTAGCTTTCCCAGAATGTTAACTTTCCCAGAATTTCCACTATACAAACTCTGCATTATTGGTGGTGAAGAGCATGGCACTAAATTATTATTCTTAAAAATACACATGGAGAACTCCACAACCTGAAGACACCATTAGTTTCTTTCAGTGTATTGAAAGGTAAATTGCAGACGTTTTTCATCATATCCCAAAACAAGGAAACTGGGCCGCGCAAACCACGTCATCCTTTGCCTGGTTTACATTCTGTTGGGTATTTCACGGTACAGTGAAGCAACAGCTGACAAGCTTTCTTCTGGAACTCGGATGAAGTATTCCAATGTCAACAAATAGGAATCCAAAGTTGCACTCCACCTGCGAGGAGGCCGGAGGCTGCAATTTGTGCGCTTGCAAAGATGGAGTTCATAACAAAACCAAACAACAGTACACTATTGTTCTTTGGAAAACTATTGTTCTTTGGAAAACGTCTTTGCCATTTGAATGTTTGGCACTCAGTTAGGACAGCCAGCTTCACTCTGCCGACTGGGTGGACCGGCTGGACTGGGAAGTGGCACTAAGGCTTCCCAGCACACGTTGTGGGGCTTTCGCACTACGGGAAGTTCAGCCGCTGCTGTTCTTCCTTGGATAACTACTGAGAGGACTTTCTCTCCTGGTGAGAGGGGAATTCCGGCAAGAGAATGGGTGTTCCATCACACAACGTCTGTCACCTGAAGTGCCGTCTGCTGACTGTGCAGACAGCTGGGTTCTTCTCACCCTGCAAATTTGGTTCAGAGTTTACCTCCAGAATAACTCTTTGTGTTACCAGCCCAAACATTAGAAATAGCCACGTCACCCGCAATCACCCGCACCCGATGAGAAGTTTTTTGCAAGGATAACAGCAGGTGAAAGGGCAATATCTGAATGAAAGTCTGCGTTAATTCTGAAGACAACCTCTCACAGTACCGACGTACAGGAGAAGGCTTCCCTGGCTGCTTGATGAAATGCTAAATTACCGGAGTCTGGAGAGGAAAAAGAGCAGTACAGTGATTTTGATCTGCGAGTCAAGCTACCCGCTTTTTCCTTGTCTTATAATTGTGGTTTGGCCAAAGTCTCATCTAGCTCGATTATCTCCTTGAATGAGAAGTCTGGAGGAATAGAAAAATCCTCAAGGAGCCCCAAGCTACTTCCTCCTCCAGCTGATTTATTTCCTCTAATCATCCTAAGTGGAGTTCTCTTTCTCCATTCAACAGGCTGAGCCACCGCTGCAGGGCAGGACCCGAACCTGCTCTCCCAGGCAGCATTAACCCCTTCCTTCCTAAAATGTCTTGAGTACAGCCTGTCCCATGCGTATGTTAAAAAAAACCCACCACCCACCCTTACATCCAGGTCGGTTGAGCTGCCAATGAGTTTATGTTCAGGATACGGATACCTTACAGCAACGCTACCCGGCATTAACGAGCTTCTTTTTCAATAAATCCTTTAAAATTTCTATATGACAATCAGCATTAAACAGCACTTGACTACATTTACAACGGCTCTGAAACTTTCCAGCACATGCAAGAGAAATCAGATTTAGTTTGGTATTTTACAAGCCACCGAAGACAGTGCTTTGGAAAGTTTCTGTTAAAACATTTAATCAATAACATTCTTTTGATATTAATCAAAATATTTTTAAAAGTATGCTACTTCAGATGAAACTTTCCAGAAGAAAAACAAAAAAGCTTTTTATTGGAATTTTTTGTGTAAGAGAAGTTTAAAATGTTATTTCAGAAGTTTGAACTATTCATTTTTTGTGATTTTTATTTTATTTTTTTTTTATATTATTCCAGGGAATTAGTGTACTGAAAATATATTGGTATTGAAAATATACATAGAATGCCGCAAAACTATAGAAAATGAAAAAAGCTGATTCTTTATCGAAATCAAAGCAAACTTGGTAATGAGGTCTCAAGCTGTTTTATCCCTTGTAGTGGGCAGCTTAACTTCATGTTACTTGGGCAACCAAGAAGCAATATGACTAAAGCAGCACATGCGGCCCTCCGAGTCCGATTCCTGTTAAAACCAGTAAGTGCAAAGGGCAACAGAACTTGAATTAGGACTTTAAGTTTTATAACACGTATGTCTAAAATTATCAGCTAATAAAAATGAAATGTAATACAGGTCTTTAAATTATTCCAATTTTGGTTTGGGAATTTAGATAACGGCAGAAAAAATACTTAATATTCTGATTTTAAAAGCTTTTAATTTGCAGTACACCTAGCCACTACCCACTAGGGTTTAGTCATATGCAGATATATATATTTTTTTAGTGTGTTTTTTTTATTACTTGGGGAGATTTCCTTCTCCATGATTCACAATTCTGTAAACTTTCCCTGGTCAAAACTCTCGGTGAAATAATTGTGTGCAGATGTGAACATATTTGCAGGGCCACTTCATCTTTTGAACATCTTAATTTGGGTCAAATAAATAGCACTAAACAGTAATAAAATATAAACGGAGTTCTCATTTTAAAATTGAAATAATATTTCCAGAAAAATAAAACTCAAGACGCTTGTGCATTTTAACTGGAAATTGTAAACCAAATGTGAACGGACTACGGAGAGATCTGACAGAATCAGTAAATAACTATGAAACTCATCACTAACGCAGTAATATTGCAGCATTCCATTAAAGTTAGTATCTTCCACCAGCAGCACTGCCTGCTGCCTTTCTGCCGCCACTTGTTCAAGTCTCTGGTAAAGTGACTTACTCTGTGGGAAAGACTCGACCACTCCATGCCTTTAGGAGGCCGATAACCCCGGGCCCAGTGCACCTTTAGCTGTCTCGGTTTAAACATCTGAAGTTTGGCGAGATGAATCTCAGCAGAAGCTCTGACTGCAGTAAGGCTCAAAACCAGATTTTAAGGAATCAAGATAACACAGGTCTCAGCAAAATTTTCTTCTTCAAAGATCTTTGTGTTAAAAAACATGTTAAAAATCCCATACTGCAGCTAATACTACGCTAACCCCATGTTTCACAGCTCTTCAAATGCTTTTTTACCTTATTGTATTTGGCTGTTTGGGTTAACCTTCTTTTGAGAGGAACGGTAAAACGCCCGTAACCTCAGACAGAAAAGAACACAGATTTTTAATATGCTGGGACCAGAAATATAACATATAACTTATCCCTGAAAAGGGATCTCACGCCTTTAGCCAAATGGAGTTCCAAGTGTTAGCATTATCTTTAGATACTGTCTATACATTTTTTATAACGTAGAGAAGTTTGTCTCAACAAAAGTGCTGGGAATTGGATCAGGTCATCCACCAGCACCTAAGACAAATTGTGTGCTTCATCTATAAATTATTTCATATCCTGTGTTTCATTTACTTCACAGCATTTATTTCACGCTATAACTTTTTGGTTTGATTATTGATATCTTAATAAGAAAAAACAATTAAGCTGCTATTATTTCTGGGCATTGCAGTTGCTCTTCTGAACTTGTTGAGTTGCATTACTGTGGAATGCCATCCATGTTTCTAACCTTCCAAGCATAAATAAGGTCACTGGTAAAGCAATACAGGTTCTAGGCAACACGTTTAAAGCAAGTTTCAGTTTTTAGGAGCACAAAAGTAACATATTCTGAATATAATAATCCCTTTCCTCCCTTTATTAGACATCTGTGATTAGAGGAACCTACCTCGGCCTAGAATACATGAGAAAAGGAAATGGGGGAGATGGAGGAGTAATCATTAATATCTCCTCTTTGGCAGGTAAGAATATTTTCTCTATAAACACTACGTACTTACTGGGTTTTTTTCTAAAATAAATGAATCGTACTGATCAGTCACACTTTTCCTTCTTTCTAATGGCTCTTCCCTATTTATTCCCATTTTGAGCTGGTTTTCATCATAGCAACCAGAGTAATATCAAAGGTCCACAACTTTCATTTGCTTTTTAAACTCAGTTCAATGAAAAATTCAGTAATTTTGCTAACCTCTCAATCTCAGATTTAATAATCTTCAGCATGATGTAAATAGGGTTTTTTTCGCGCTTCAGCACTGCCACGCATTAAGTAAAACCTAACGAGCCTCAATTCGTTACGCTTATTCAACACTGTTCAGTAGCACTGCTGACTTAATATGCTGCGTACACCGCACTGTGGGTGAGAAACAAAGTCTAACCTACAGACCTAATTTGAATTTTATTTTAAGAGCCGTTTAAATGTGGTGTTGGGGGATATAGTGTAGGGGAGAACTTTGTAGAGTAGGGTAGATGGTTGGACTCGATGATCCCGAGGGTCTCTTCCAACCTAGACAATTCTGTGATTCTATGAATTCAGAGTTACTTTAAATCTGATTATTTTTTATATTATAAAGCATTTATCAGGCATGAAATATGGCAAATCAGGACAGTTGTTTCACAGCAAGCGAGGTGGCAGTAGCAGGTCCTCTGTTCAACTCCCTAAGAATATTTAAGATGAGACTGTACCTACTTTATTAAGGAAGGTTGTCACACACCAACTCTGCCCGTGCTCCAAGCCCTCTCAGATGGGATCTACCTCTGCTTGAGAAGCCATAAAATTAACACCATAAAAGCCATAAAATTTCACTGAGCTTAAACGAGCATATTCTTTGCTCACTACTTGTCTATGCTGTAACAGTATTTCAATTTATTGGTATAAAAATAGAAGGATACGGCTTCTAAGTGAGTCAGGGTTGCTGCTGCCCAGTTGTGAGGTGGAATCCTCTCCCTTCCTGGAGGAACGTGTCTCGCGGTGGCCGAGTTTGTAGCAAAAAGGCACAACTGAAGGGGAAATGGAAAACAGAGAATGATGCCCACCCTTCCTCCAAAAATAGGGGGGGGGGGGGGGGGGGTGGTGGAATACATTCTCTCTCGTTTGTTTGAAGAGTTTGTTCTCTTTTGCTGCTGTCATACTGCCTAGGAAAATTAACCGGGATGCTGGTTAATGCTGGGATTGTCAGTGCTTTCCTGCGTGGATACTGAATGGCAGTGATTTTATTCCGGGGTATTCCTGTGTGTTTTAGCAATGAAAAGCCAGTGAGACAGCAGCGGCCACAGCTCCTGAGCGTGAACGGGGCTTCGTGTCCCATAGGTGTGAATGCTCTGAGTGCTATTAAATCCTCCTGCAAACTTTGGCTTTTGTGGCGAGCAGATGGGTTCCCCCTGTTGCCATGATGCGCCCAGAGCCCGAGGAGCTGAGTTAACAAATGCATCCGAGGGGTCCTTTAGCAACGGCCTCCGGGTACCTTTAATTCGGCACTTGCAACGCTGCCCAACGCATTGCCTCCTGCTGCCAGTCAGCGTATCTGCGCTGGATCAACTGGACGTTGTGTTGGGACCTAATTAACCCGAAGGAAAGTGCTATTGCAGGACAAGGGTTCAGCACCGCCAGTAAAAGATTAAACACTTTCGCAGACGGGCCGATGCCCACGCGGCGCTTAAGAAAGGGCAGAGGTAGCAAGCAGCTAGATTCCCTTTCTAACCAGTCTCAACTGAACACAAAATTATGTTAAGACCCAACAGCTTGGCTTTTCTCCGTTTGGTAAAAGCATATAAGTGCCGTTTTAATTATTTGATTAAAATTTGCATTTATTTACTTACTTTTTTTAACATTAGCATTGTGCCATAATGGTTGTGGGAACCTGTCAAAACCAAAGTGTTCTCTGCTTGCTTTGCTTTTACCTAGCTTGTATTTACCAATTGTCTCCAAGGTCCTAAGAAAAACACCTTAGAAAAGCTGACATACCTTAACTTTTATCGTTTATTTATTTACTACAATTTGTGCTTTGTGACTCTAATTCTCCTTTCCAGTCTGAAGGTCTAAGTCCTGCAGTTTATTCCGTATATAAAAGGCAAACTGCCATTGGCTTGTCTAGCATTTTCTTCTCGTGTTTTCTCTTCTCAGAGCTAGCTTCTGTTGATCATTAAGCTCTCGAGTGGTTTTTATCCCTCCCCATCCAAGTTCTCTATAACATTTTATCAGATACGCTCTGCAGACAGCAAATCTTCTGGTGTCTGCCGAGCAGCAAGAAGAGTTATATTTAGCGCTTCCGTAACATCCGATAGTATTTGCTTTACCCACTAATTAGTTTCCAGTTCTTCACCATGGGAATTTTGCCAGTGATTTGTACTAGGGACAGAATCGAGCCTCGCTGGTTTATATTTCCAAGCACCCACGGAACTGCTTAAACCCTTCCTATGAAGCGGACGCTTCGAGTGCTGGTTCAGCTGGGGGGAAGCCAGCGCGGCCACCCTTTCTTCCCACTATCCAACCTCCCTTGCCTTAGCGCCTCTGCCAGACGGGACTAAATCTGAAAGGGAGAGAAATACGGAACATGGAAGGGCACGCAGAAAGGACCCAACTCCTAACCCGCTGCATCTTGGAGCTATAAAACTTACTTAATTTTATGGGGTTTGGGCATTCACAGCAGGAGGAAGTAATGCCGCTGAACAACTGAGCTGATTGGAAATGTTTTACTGCCAACTTGCCCCCATAAAAGATAAGGCTCATGGCTGCAGGCTTTTGCAGTGTACCAAACTTCATTTCAAATTTAAAGAGCAAAACGTTCTAAAGTTTCTTCTGTAGGAAGCCACGTACAGTAATTTTAATTTTGTTTAAGAGAATCGTTAAAAGCAACAGAAAAAGCATACAAAACTCAATTTAACTCCTGAGATTACTTACATAATTAATTTTAGCATTGTCTCTTACCTTTTGGTGGCTGGTACCTGTACAATTTTATTAAGGGAGAAAGGGAATTCACGTGTGTGCACGCACTTTTGTTTTGATAGCCTCCACACTCTCAAGAAGGCATTCTGTAAAGCTGAATTTCTATCTATCTGTCTGGATTCTAGTAGATTTAAAAAAAAAAAAACAGCCAAACAAATAAAAAACAACAACCAACAAGCCCAAAGTATTCCTAGAGGGCTTAAAACCCAGTCAAATATTTAGCATGAGACCGTGCTAGCTTTCTACGAGAGCTTGTTCCATGTGTAGCATCTCTGGGTACCTTGCCATTGCGCAGACATATCAGTGGTGTAATTACACCCAATTTCAAGCACTCAGGCTCCACAAGCAGCCAGTTTGTCCTCCTCCTACAGAAAGTTTCAGCCAAAAGAAATACAAAAAAGTACCCCTCACGGCAAACCGGCATCTTTAGGACCTGCCCCTATATATATTACCCGAACAAAGCGAAGCATACGGTTAACACCACGGAGTAAAGGCAAGGCTTTATCACAGTGCAGCGAAGGTGCAGATGGCTGCACAACTGGGACCATCAGTTCAGCATCACGAAAGAGCTTCTGTTCCCTCCCCTTTGGTAAAAAAAAAAGATGCTGAGCAGAATCCACAGGAAGTTGGTTAGAAAATTCAGAAACAATTTCCTTGAGACTTCAGTGTACTGTTAAAAAATCTCCTAGAAATACCACAGCCTCCAATTTTTGCTGGGATTTGTGTGTCTCCGTTGTTTTGGCGCAGATCACAGCAGTATAACTGACATAAAGGATGTGATCTGGTACCCCCTCCCTATTCTTAACGAGGAGAGAATCCATTCTCTCATCGCTCTGTAGGTCCATCACACCCCTAGCTGGTTGCTCTAGTTCCATATCCGTGTCTTCAAAAGAGCCTTTGGCCTCCAAAGAACACCGCGAGCATACGCCATACTGTTTCTCCAGACTTTTGCCTAAGGGCGACAAAGGAGATTTCTGTAATGTGGTTTGGAAAGATGTTTAATTTAAATAAATACGGCTAAATTGTATGATGTTATTTATTTATAAATATTCTTTGTGTTGCAATGGGCTTTGATAAGTACATTTTCTAAAACAAACCTAATATAGAAAGGAAAACAAATGACTTTGGCAACATTTCCCAACATATGGAGGAGCACACTTTTGGTTTGCTTTTAAATAGGTTCCATCGGTTGTCAAAACTTACCTTTCAGCACTTTCACATACTTTTTTCATAAACAATGAAAATTTAGAGTTTTAGGATGACACAAGATAGAGTGATTAATCACATAAGTGAGAGAAAATTTCAATATTTTAATGGAATATTTAAACAGTGGGACTCCATGATGTTAAAGGTCTCTTCCAACCAAAACTATTCCATCATTCAATGAATGTATTTGTCTAATGTATAACTGTGAATAGAGTTTAAGCACTGCATAATCATAGCGTAGAAGCGCTGCGTTCTGATGAACCCAAAGCCTCCATGAGATCAACAGCCACGTTGGAAAGCAGACCTTGGTTCTTGTATTATGAAGAATGCCACATGCCACAATGCCTCCAAACATGAAGTACACTATTCCAGGAACTAAAGAAACTTAGAGATACTATCAAACAGAAATTACATCTGTCTTAAGCTGCGCAACAGTGCACCCGTGGAGAAAACAGGGGGCGGAAAGGTCATCTAGAAGCTAATAAGTCTTATTTTAATCCCCTCTACTTTTCACTGGTGAGGCCATAACTGGAATACTGTGTCCAGTTTTGGGGTCCTCAGTTCAAGAGGGACAGGGAACTGCTGGAGAGAGTCCAGCGAAGGGCAACTAAGATGACTGAGGGATTGGAGCATCTCCCTCATGAGGAAAGGCTGAGAGAGCTGGGACTCTTCAGCCTGGAGAAGAGAAGGCTGAGGGGAGGCTTTCTCTGTCCTCTTTCACGTAACAGCTCAGTGATGCAGCAACATCCAGAGAGAGGAAAATCTAGGCAGCATCACCTCCTCTGGCTAAGAGAGGTTGAAACCCACATGTATCACTCTCCAGGGGTACACCGCCCCATCCTCACCACCCATTTGAGCACCCTCCCCTTCCTCCCCCCTGTGTTTTGCGCATAATGTTCTCCAGTCTGTTTCACTGCCGTTCCACTTTGCATAAGATAATTAAATATCCATGGGAGCAGCAAACAAAATCCGGATTTTCTAACAAATAAATGCCTTAACTAATATGCTGTGAACTCCCCTTGGCTCACTGGTTGAATAAATACTCAGGCAGAGCAGGATCACTGTCACACGGTGGTTGACCCCAAAATACTAGTGAGCAGAGTCCCTAGGACACACCGCTCACAGATGGAGGGTCAGCGCTCCCCAGGGCAGGGCAGGGGCTCAGGGCTGGAAATCCCACACCGTGGCTCTGGGTACCACACTCGGGAACAAAAGGGAGACAGGACTCTCGTTGGTTTGGGTGAGGGATGCTAGGACTTGTCTTCATTGGCGTGGCTTTGGCTGGAAATTCACTTCATTTCTTCTTGGTTCTCCATTTTAGCAAAAATAATAATTTCATTTAGAAAAGAACTGGTTTTAATGCTTTAGTTCAAAAAAAAAGAGTTATTTGTTCCTCCCATCCTGCCTA